TCATTCAAACCAAGGCATAGGTGATAGTTTTCTTCAGTTTGTTTCTGCAGGTCTTTGATACATCCAGCTCTGTGTGTGTTTGTTCATTCATTCATTTATATTATCTCTCTCTCTGACCATTAATAAGTGATCAAGCATTTTATAGCAGACACCTAGAAGATTTATGTAGAATAAAGACATCACAGACAAAAACTGTTACAGGACAATTGATATGTAATATGCATTCCAATTTATTACCATATATGCCTTTTCATATTTTAGATGCTAGCATAGATTGCACCTTTTCAGAGGTTAGTACTGTCAATATTACATAATTTTCTTACCCTTTTCAAGGTGAGCTACTTGTTTTTTCTATGAGTTGAAACTCTCCATTGTCTGTCTTTCATGCTCTGTGATCTCATTCCTACACGGCATTCACAAATCCAATGAGTAATATCTTTTTTCAGTCTGAGTTGTACAGTCACTTAATTCTGTATCTATGGTTCCTTGACACATTATGACTAATATTTAAGGAAATCTTCCCAATTATAAGAGCACTTGCTTTCTGTACACTACTGAAACACTTCTCATAGAGAATGTTTTCTTCATCATGGATCCTTTTGCTAAAACCAGGCATTTTTTATTTGCTGTTCACTAGCCACTGATGATTAGTAATGATAGCATTAATCTGTAATACTAGAGATTTTCAAAATTGAACTACTTAATTTTTAGAAACAGCAACTTTAATTCAAGTAACTGCCAGGGTATCTTTTTTCTGTGATGCTTTTTGGTTTTTTTAAACAGAGTTCTTTAATACAATCAAGACAAATTTCGTAGAATCATAGAACCATAGAATGGTTAGGGTTGGAAGGGACCTCAAAGATCATCTAGTTCCAACCCCCCTGCCATGGGCAGGGACACCCTCTACTACACCAGGTTGCTTAACGCCTCATCCAACCTGGCCTTGAACACTTCCCAGGTATGGGGCATCCACAACTTCTCTAGACAACCTGTTCTAATGCCTCACCACCCTCTGAGTGAAAAATTTCTTCCTTATGTCCAATCTAAATCTACAAATCTACCCTCTTTCAGTTCAAATCCGTTGCCCCTTGTCCTATCGCTACATACCCTTGTCAAAAGTCCCTCTCCAGCTTTCCTGTAGGCCCCCTTTAAGTACTGGAAGGCTGCAATAAGATCACCCTGGAGCCTTCTCTTCTTGAGGCTGAACAGCCCTAACTCTCTCAGCCTGTCTTCATAGCAGAGGTGCTTCAGGCCTCAGATCATCTTCGTGGCCCTCCTCTGGACTCACGCCAGCTTCCAGTTCCTTCTTGGGAACTCCAGAGCTGAATGCAGTATTCCAGGTGGGGTCTCACGAGAGCAGAGTAGAGGGGCAGAATCACCTCCCTCGACCTGCTGGCCACGTTTCTTTGGATGCAGCCCAGGATACGGTTGGCTCTCTGGGCTGCAAGCACATGTTGCCAGCTCATGTTGAGCTTCTCATCCACCAGCACTCCCAAGTCCTTTTCCTTCGTGCTGCTCTCAATCCATTCTCCGCCCAGCCTGTACTTGTGCTTGGGATTGCCCCGACCCACATGCAAGACCTTGCACTTGGCCTTGTTGAACTTCCTGAGCTTCACACAGGCCCACCTCTCCAGCCTGTCAAGGTCCCTCTGGATGGCATCCCTTCCCTCTAGCGTGTCCACAACACCACACAACTTGGTGTCGTCAGCAAACTTGCTGAGGGTGCACTCGATCCCACTCTCCATGTCACCAACAAAGATGTTAAATAGCACTGGTCCCAGTACTGACCCCTGAGGAACACCACTCGTCACTGGCCTCCACTTGGTCATTGAACCGTTGACCACAACTCTTTGAGTGCGACCATCCATCCAATTCCTTATCCACCGAGTGGTCCATCCATCAAAACCATGTCTTTCCAGTTTAGAGACAAGAATGTCATGTGGGACAGTATCAAATGCTTTGGACAAGTCCAGGTAGATGATGTCAGTTGTTCTTCCCCTACCCATCAATGCTGTAACCTCATCATAGAAGGCCACCAAATTATTCAGACAGGATTTGCCCTTAGTGAAGCCATGTTGACTGTCACCAATCACCTCCTCATTTTCTATGTGCCTTAGCATAGTCGCTACAAATTTGTACATAGACAGTTATGAACATACCTGAGTTACTAACTAGCTAGTTACATTCATGATGAATTAATAGTCATGGATTAGTAGTCTTGTACCACAGTAAAGTGAGAATTAGACTCATATTTCTTTATGTTTTCCTCTTCATAAATGGTATCTGAAAAGCAAAAGCCCACTGTCATTTGGGTGAGATTTCATAAAGCAAAATCTAATTTCTCAGTCCATAAAACACATGTTGAAATTTGTTTCTAAATCTAGCAATGATGATATTTTTTAAAATTGCACAAGTTTATAGTTATATATAATGTTATGGAAATACCACTGATATTTTCTTAAAACTTAATTGATGAGAGTAGGATATTTCTTTTCTTTCTGAATGGTGTAATTTCACCATGGAATGAGTATTACAGTGCTGTATACAATCTCCCTCCATCAATATTTAGCCTGAAGGTTTGTCTTCCTGGAGTTATGGTCTGATTTTTTTTTTCCTTTTCGTTTGTTTTAGAAAGTGAGATTAAGAGATTGAAATGTATATATACTCCACTAAGAAACCTCATAATGGTAGCAGCTGACTTTCTGCACCTCTGGAGTCTAGTAGTTTTTCAGAAGGTGGTGACCTGTAGCTCTACAGGTAGTTTGTTCAGAGCTGTAATCAATAGTGCCTTATATGATAAATATAAAAATAAATAGAAATACAGCTGTTTTCTTTCATGGATTTTGTTTAATGCTCAGCCACCATCACCATAGACAACTGAAGGTGAATTGAATCTTAATTTTCATTTCAGCACTTCATATTACATCTTTTGAACTGATCCAAATCTAGTAGTCTCATGTTTAAGTATTTTTTTCCAGTAACATATGTTAGTTGCGCAAGCTCTCTGTTCCTCATATGAATGAATATCTGGAGTGGTAAGTTCTCTATGTCAGCTGTTCACAATGTAGATGGTTTCTTATCAATTGTAGTAGGTATCGCTGAGTTTTCCAAGGGTAACAGTTACTGCACGGAAATGAAGTGCCTTTGCTGTTTCTGTCTGTGTCCTCTAATGGTTTTCCTGGAGAAAAAAAATCAAAAAAGTTAATTTGAATGACATAGCACTGAAAGTGTGAAGCAGAAGCTCTGTTCTAGTGTTTCTCTGAAAAAGAAAGTGGTAAAGGTGATATTCTTCATTATACAATACATTCTAAAAGCACAATGTCAGCTGCTCCATTTGATGTATATCAGATGGCTCAAAAGCGTAATGGATTGTGTGCAAAACTTTTGTAAGATTTTGATCTACCTTCTTGTCTTCTCTTATAGTTAGATTGGTGATAAGAGAACATATATACATGGTAGAAATCCTATAATTACACTGTAGGTCTGAGTTGATTGAAAATATGATTTATTGACATAAATACTTCCATATGAGCTATGTAATTTAGTTTGAGAGAAGTCTCCAGTCGTGGACTGTAGAATGAGTCAAGTACTGTCAGATCTAAAATTTTGCTACTGAAAGTAAGTTTTTCTGGGACATCTGAAGCTGAAGTAACTGCGTTGTCGTTTCTTGCCTGACAAGTTAAAATGGATTCAAACTGCAATGCATTCTGTGTAGGTCTGATTCCACAGTGTCTTCCATATAAATCATCTCGGTTAGTCATTAGATAAATCTCAAAATTCTAAAACATGTTGTTCATCAGAATTTACAATTCCTAATCCCTAAAACTTTCACTGAAAGTTAAGACTTTAGGTGTTTATTGGTCTGTAAATCTTAGAAACAACTTGGTCTTAAGGGATCAAAGTGACAATGTCTTGTTCCTTTCCTTTTGTACCTGAATAATGAAGAATATTTGCAACATTCGGTGGAGTTGCAAGTGAAGATGCTGGTGAATTTTTAGTGGCTTCTGGTTGACATTAGTGACTTATGTGTCCATTGCATTCAGTTTAATAGACTGTAAACACTAGGAGCTGATGACCAGTTTGCATCTTTCCTTTCCTATTTGGAGGCAGTAAGTTCCAGCAAAGCAGCAGCATGAAGTCCTATGGCCAGTAAATATTGCAGTTGTGCAATTAAGAATTACCAGAACGTGCCTGCAGGGCACGGATATAAACTTATAACAGGATTTTCAGTATAGCTTTCATTTGTCATGTTCTTTTCCCAAAAACATTAACCTTTGTTTCTTCGTTGTTGAGCCCTTAATGTTTTAGGGATTGAACAGAGATTATTGATGGCAGAGAAATTTCTACAAGCTCATATTGTGTATTTAAGAATATCACAGATGACAATCACCTTTATTAAACAATAGAAATATTTTAAAAAGTGGCAACTAAAATATTTAAGATTCTTAAAAACATCTATTAGTTTATGAAATCCTTGTCCCAAGTGGTAACAGAGAAGCACAGAGAAGAAGGGGGAAAGAAACTAACACAACAAACCAGTGTGTGTGTAGTACAGAAGTGTTATGACCATACTAGGTGGCACTTCATTTGACACCTTCAACAACTCTTTCTTCCTTTGCCTTTCAGATATGCACAAGACTGCTTAGCCCCTTTCCCATTGCATCTCAGAATATTCCTATCAGCCTGTGTGTTTTCACTGATGATAGTATTTCATTAGTGTAGAATTAATGAGGAAAGCTCACTCTGCTAAGTGGAACTAAATTACGGAACCTTACAGTTTTACCATATAATCTTTACCAAAGTTTATTATCTCTACCTAAGAAAAGGGCAAATATATATTTTGGTTTATTTTTTTCCTCATGTTAAAAAAATAATTGAATTCAAATATACTATCAGTGAGTCTATATAGTTTGGGCATCTACATCAGTCTAGACGGAAGAAAAAAGAGGAGCAGTGGAAAGCAATGCTTTTTTTCCTCAGTTATTATGTCTGTTTCACAGGGTGATTCTCTTCAGGGTGGTGATGATTCTCCCTTCTCAGACTCCATTACATTGGAACAAACAACAAGTAATATCGGAGTCTCAAGTGGACGTGTCAGCCTATGGATGCAGTGGATGTTGCCAAAAATTACTATAAAATTGTTTGCTCCTGATCCTAGAAATAATGGCACAGGTATTCTGCATTTTTCCCTTTGTATACTATTTTAAATTCTATACATTATTTTACAGCACAGTATTAGTTATTCAGAGCATTTATTGAGGATATTAAAAACTGTAATGCAGGAATAATGGGTTGGGTTTGTATTTTAAACTACGGTGGCAAGCTGTAGTTAGTTTAGTGCATGTAATCAGAATTCAGTATTGCTCTTTGGCATAAATTTCCCCTCCATGTGGAAAGATAATTATATTAAATTGGAAGTAAATTGGTTATTTTACTTAAGAGTGCTGCATTTATTGCCTTAGAAGCAATCGTTTTTCGTTTTGATATGATTTAGTAGTACGTTTTGCATATGTCCATGTGTAGACATGTAGTTTTGTATTGATAATTTCAAATTTAAATTTAACAATCATCGTAGTATAATCCTTAAAGTCATAGTAAGTTTAATACTGAGTTCAATGTAGAGGTTTCAACTTCTGTGTTGAAAAGAGAAATATGTGTGGTACAGAGCTTCTTTTTTCCTCTGAGATTAAAGTTGGATTATCATCCAGGCAGTATTGTTTGAAAGGAACTCAGATTCTATAAATGTACTGCAGGACTTCAAATTTTTTTTTTTGTTAGGAAACGCTTCTGCTTAGCAAATAACATTGTTACTCATAGAAATGTGAAAAAATAAAGAGACTAATGATTAAAGCTAAGTTTCAAAGATATGTAATTGAACCTGTGATTTTAAAAAACTAATTTCATGAGAGAAAGAAACCTCAAGTATTGTTAGAGTAAATATCTTGGCAAATACTTGTTTACTTTTTTTCAGGAATTATATTATGAATACCTGAATTAAAAACCCCATACATAAGTGTCTCTGCACCTTTGTATAAACGGTTTGGATTCTAGGATTTTTTTCCTGGTTCCTATCTGTGTGACACTTGATCAAAAAGTGCTTTGTGAAAAAAAACCTCTGAGTAGAACTAGCATCGTCCTATTTACCAAATGTAGTGTCTCAGATATATTTCTTGCTCAATAAACTTGCAAGTTTCAGATTAATAACTATAATTTTTGTTTTCTTTGACTACTGCAGAAGTTTGTGTTGTCAGTGAATTAGAAGATCTCAGTGCCTCAGTGGATATGCAGGATGTCTATACCAAAATCAAATGTAAAATAGAAAGCTTCAATATTGACCATTACAGAAACAGGTAATTCCTAGGAGTTATTCTGCTTTAATTTCAGGCTAAAACAGGAAAGCAGGTCATTTTTTTTTTTTTTAATTCTTAACTTGAATTTAAGGTAATTGTTCAATTTCAGTGAAATTATTTTAACATTTTAAGTAATAAAAATCAGAATTACATTTTCTCAGAATTATATCTGATTCCAGAGAAATACATAGAAATCATTACAAATGAGGAGAGCGTTTTTTCTCACTTACTGTTCTGTTGGTCCATTAGACAAACATAATTCAACTGAACGTTTGAATGGGAAGTTCCTTAAATATTGCTTCATGGTGTGTTAACAAGTGCCAATATTTAATGATGGTACCATACTGTTAGATATTAAAAAAAAAGTTTCTAAAAGATCATGGAATTGTAGAATGGTTTGCGTTGTAAGGGACCTTAAAGATCATCTAGTTCCAACCCCCCTGCCATGGGCAGGGACACCTTCCCCTACATCAGATTGCTCAAAGCTTCATCCAAGCTGGCCTTTAACACCTCCAGGGATGGGGGCATCCACAACTTCTCTGGGCAACCCATTCCAGTGCCTCACCACCTTCATTGTAAACAAATTCATCCTTATACCTAATCTAAATCTCCCCTCTTTCACTTTAAAGCCATTGCCCCTTGTCCTGTCACTAAACGCACTTGTCAAAACTCCCTCTCCAGCTTTCTTCTAGGCCTCCTTTAGGTACTGAAAGGCTGCTAGAAGGTCTCCCCGGAGCCTTCTCTTCTCCAGGCTGAACAACCCCAACTCTCTCAGCCTATCTTCATAGCAGAGGTGCTCCAGCCCTTGGATCATCTTTGTGGCCCTCCTCTGGATCCACTCCAACATCTCCATGTCCTTCTTGTGTAGGGGGCCTCAGAGCTGAACACAGTACTCTAGGTAGGGTCTCACGAGAGCAGAGTAGAGGGGCAGAATCACTTCCCTCGACCTCCTGGCCACACTTCTTGTGATGCAGCCCAGGATATGGGCTTTTTCTTTTGCTGTGGCTTAACACCACCATAATGCAGGGAACTAAACTGATTGTCTGTGTGACATGACATAGTGTTATGCAGACACATCTGAGTAAAATTTCAGTAATTAATGTCAAGCAGTGTATCATCAATATTGTGTACATTAAGAGTAGGTAGTCAAACCTACTATATCTCTTGCAACTTTAGCAAGTCTTGTTCAATGAATAGTTTACTGCAACATTGTGACTGCGTTCATTTGGCACCCAGACACATGATTCTATAGAGAGATCGGATGTACCAGCTTCTAGCTCCTATCAGCCATGAACACACTAGTCTTGACAAAATAAGAGAGAACCTGTGTAGTCTTTGATCGACTGGGTTAGTGTTTGCCATTACAGAGGAACAGTTTCTGTTATGGAAGACAGAAATTAACAGAAAATAGAATAGTTATTGTGTAACTCCCTGTGAAGGGGAAGTTATAAGCTTCAGAATGTTTTTTGACGTTGAAAGTTTATTTATTGACAAAAATATTTAGGAGCAGAAATCATTTTGACTTGGGAGCCAATGTCTGCAAGTCTTACTGGACACTATTGTTCCCTATGTACAAGAGGAAGGAAATTTAATATCAGCTTAGCCAACTTACCAACGTTTCTGGGAATTTTTTCTGATTAGCTGTCTAAAAAAACCCCTTTGAATTCCTGTTCTTTTACCAAAGTTACGGATGCTGGTTTTGTTTGTACATACTGTAGTATTTGATAATCAAAATTAGTACTTTAATTTTTAAAAACTTTTAAAATCGAGTCATGATGCTTTAAAATACTTTGGAATCCCAGTAACTAGGTGGTCCTAACAAGCTTCTTTGTCCACACATTCTGTGGAAACCTCGAGAGAAGGTACTTCATTCCCAGGAGCCTAATGCTCCACTAGAAATGTTTTCGACTTGAGAGTGTTCTTTTATGCTAAAATTATATTGAGGCTTTTTAAAAAAGAAAAAAAAAATTACTCCACTTGACAAAATTATTGCTATTCTCATTTATATTTCGTAATCTCTTCAGAATACCTTTCTCTATCTTTAAATCTCTGCGGACTAAAACCAAAAGCAGAGAATAGATAAGGTGAATGTTCTATCTTCCAGGCCAGGGGGAGACTGGCAGTCAGGACATTTTGAAGGAGTATTTCTACAATGCAGAGAAAAGCTTTTGGTGAGATTTCTTTAGCAAACTAAGATGTTTGCCTCAATAGCTCTTCTTAAGCAAAGTATTTTTCTTTATTCTTACATATATATTAAACAGAATTATTACAAGAACTGTAGTGCAAAGCACATTTTAATACTTACTAGCTCATTTTTTCTAAATAATACTATGATTTTATAATGTATACGAGTACAGCTTTTCGTTCACAGTTACTTGGTTCTTGTAATCATTCTCTGCTTCATTCTAATAAAGCTGTCTGCTGAAAATCCAGGGGTAAGTCTCTCTTCTCTGTGCAGGATTTTACTATACTTTTACTCTCATGAGTCTTGACCTCTTGCTATAGATTGTCCTTTCACATAAAATTTTACAAAATTTCTTTATTTACCATTTTTTTGCTTGATCTGATTGAATTTCAGCTTTAGGAAATGGAATGGCATAGGCTTTATCTTGCAGTTATATAGAACCGTGCAATTTTAATGTAATTTTTTTTTTTGCTTATATCAAGTATTATTTTATTTTTATTGCTTTTTGTCTTCCCTTCTTCCATGCCTTGTTCATTACCTCAAGCTTTGGGGAAGATTCTTGGTCTCTGGGGCAATATGGAGGTGTGTTCCTTTCCTGTACTGACAAGCTGAACAGACGTACCTTGTTGGTTCGACCCATCAGCAAGCAGGACCCTTTCAGTAATTTCTCTGGCTTTTTTCCTTCTGTAAGAATCTTTTTTAAAAATTTTTACTACAGAACTTCCACTAATAAATGCCAATTGGAGTAAAAAAATAATTAATCCCAAATGGCTTTAGTTTCTTGTTACCTAAATTTTTTTGGTACTGAATATATATATTGTTTAATTGATTATATTAGTTGTGCTATTTCCCTCTTATCCTTTAGTAATAGTTGTCAGTTATTTTTTATTATATATGGGAATGAGGTTCCAAACCTGGTGCATAAAAATCCACTGAAGTCGTTGGGATTCATTTATATTAAAAGTGAGCACATACAGTAATGTTTGGAGACCAAATATATAGAAGCCAGTACTGAACACTACAATTTGTTCATGTAATTCTGGTATCTGTTTAGGGATTTAAGTACTTTGTATTACTGCAATATACTTTTCTGCATCCTTTTATAATCAGTTTTTATAATTGTAGTAATGCAACAATTAACAGTTTCATATTTGACACTTCCTTTTGAATGCTTGAAACGTTACTTGCTAACTCAGAATATCTCAGTGTGTGAGAGATTTAACTTGTTTTTTTCTTGCCTGTTTATCCTTGAAAGACTTTATATGTTATGACATTGGGCTTTTTATCTTCACAAATGTATGGCTGTATAGAATCTTTTTTATATTAGTGGAAGTTCTGTGCAGTCTGACTTACTTGCATTGTGATTATTGATTGGTAGTACTTTCTCTTACTCTGCTTGATTCAGTTCTTATAAGAAATAAATTAAATTTGCTTAGCTTAAATGCTGAAAAACTTGAAACTTTTATGATTATGTATCCTGTTTATTTAAGAAAGAGATGTTATTCTTCTATTAACAAGGTTTAAATTACATTAAATTGTTTTTCGTTATAAAGTCATATAAATCGTACTTGCTGAAAAAAGCAACTACTTGCAAATATAGTTGCTTTCGTTTCTGCTCACGTGATTAAAGTTAATATTTAAACAATCTTATAGATTTCTATCAAAATGTTTGTTGCACTGTTAAAATAATGGTTTTCCTAGTGTCCTAGTTTTAGGACAACAAAGTTATTACTTTTACATTTTTCATTAACTAGCAATGTATGACTGAAAGACTTTCGAAGATAGTGTGAAAACTGTACTATGTCTTCTGGGAGCTAAGCATCTAATTGTCATCTTTATCTAGGAAATCTGTCCTACTGAGTGAAGGAATCTGCCATTTCTAAAGTACAGTGCAATGTATCTTTAAGTGATGTGCTTTAGCACATGGTACAGCTGTTCTGTTTAAACACTCAGAGGTGATGAGGGCAAAACCAGCTCAATTCTTACAAGTATTTAGTTGACTATGGGTGGTTTATGCACCCATGTTTAGATGATGTGAAGCTGTCTCAGCTCCCAAGCGTTATTTTAGCACCTGTGGTGTTTGCACATACAGAAGGAACAGAATAGTGCCAGGGAGTAAGATCAACTTCTAAAATGTCTAAAGTGGAGAAGAAATCAAAATATTTAACTGAAAAATTATCAGAAAATTTTTGGTAAATTTAAACTTCCAAATATATGGAATTTTTTTTTGGCTGATTGGATTTGAATTTCATACAACATAAATAATTAGAAAGGAAAAAAATATTTGGCAGTTCATAGTTTTGACTGACAGAATACAGTGAAATGTGGACATGCTGTGGTCTAGTTGTCCATTCGAAAAATTTAAAGATATTTTTTTCTTCTGTTCAGAGACACTGGAAACAAGTTAGAAAATATAGAACCCTAAAAAACCTAACTAGCAGAGAATATGGCAATTGATGGATGTTATATGTGTATATTTTTGCATCACTTCATTTATTTTTTTTTCCTTGAAACAGACAACCGCGAAACTTTTAGATGGCTCGCACCAACAACATGGGTTTCTCTCTCTCACTTATACCAAAGCTGTGACAAAAAATGTCCGGCACAAACTGATATCAAGAAATGAACGAAGAACATTCCAGAAGCTATCAGAAGGTCACACTGATGGTTCTCCTCACTTTCTTCATGAGATCCTTCTCTCTGCTCAGGCCTTTGATGTGGTCCTCTGTTTTCCTTTACTTAATGCAATTGCAAGCATTTTTCAAGCCAGGTTGCCGAGGAGTCAAAAGGAGAAAAGAAAATCACCAGGCCAACCTATGAGAACTCATGCTCTAACTTCCCGCAACTTGCCCTTGATTTATATCAACACTGGTGTAATAAGAGTCTTCTTTCCCAAAAATGAGGAAGATCGTCATACTGCAGAAGGTACAGTATTTTATGTTAGAGATTTTTTGCTTTTCAATATTGTAGACAAATACTCCAACTTAGTTAAATTGCTGACCGTTGATAGGACCCTCGGTTGTAAGGGTCAGAGTCAGGAAACATCGAACATTCATGCTACTTCTCTTCAGATTTGCTAAAAAGTTTTTTAGGTATTTCTTTGATCTTTGCTTTCTCAGTACCTATAGAGTTTGCATTTAAAATGTGATTATAGAAAAAAATAAATGGTCAAGAATTGTGGAAAGAGCTCTTAACCCAATTCTGCGGTGGGGATTCTTGTGTCATTACACTGATACCAGTTCAGTCTTCCACAGACGCCTGTTCCAGCAATACAGTGTAAGCAGGGAGTCCTAGCTGTTGTGGAAATTGGCACCTAGAAAACCATGCAATAGTGAAGCAGGTAGATATTCTAGTTCAGTTTAGAGGAAATTATTAAAATGTACCTTGTGATTGATGCCCAGCAGAGTATATCGTTTATTTAGTCTTAGTTGAAGCATTTCAGGCTCTCTTATCTAAGAGGCTTTCAGGTGTTCACAGAGGTGTGGATAGCGTAAACTGTTCTTTCAAACAACAGTAAGTAGCCATTTGATCTATAAATAATACTTTTCTTTCTCTAAGAAATTGTTTTCCCTTCATGCATAAAATATATTTACCTCCCTATTGCAATCTATATCTATAAATAAAGAGATGCTGACATGAAAATTACACTGTGTAGCAGTTTGTGATCACTTCCATTGCCAACAATTCTTTTAGAAATTTAAAAAACATAAAGGAAAAACTTGTTTTATTGCTATTACAATATGTTTACATAAGTCCTATAGGTATGGGGGTTTTTTTTACTATTATATACAATAGCACTCAATAGAATCCTAAGAGTATAGTCTTTAAATTTTTCTCATAACCTAATTGCAAGAAGTGCAGACAGTGAGAATTTGCATAGATCATTTTTTTTGCCAGCATCCTCTACAATTTTCCAACTGGGAATGCTTAAAACACAGGAAGATAAAATTAGACTGGCTGTGTTGGCAAGAAAGAATTACGATTCTGGTTGGAAGGAAGTTCTAGGGCGTGCTGTCAAGGAAATCTTTTTTTTTTAAAAAGTATGTTTTTGTAGCTCCGTAGCTGTACACTTCATTAAAAAGAAATTATAAAAAACATCGTCTTGTTGCTATCTCTTGCTTGAAAATGCATGCAAAGAACAGAATTGTCATGGTTAAGCATGGGTGTGTGCTTTTAAAGAATAATGCTCAAGATTAGCTTTACTAAATTATATTTAGTAAATATTAATAACCTCTTCCACTGGAAAATTCTGAAATATCATTGCAATGAAAATCAGAACCATTCTTCTTTCATTTCTTCTTTCACCCCAGATTCTTCTAAACTCTCATCTATTTCTGAATGTGAAATAAATCACTTCTCTCTTCTACTGCATATTGTCTTCAAGAACAATAGAAATTAGAAACAAGGAGTAAGAGTTGAAGATGACCTACATTTACTGGTGTGCTAGGTCAGAAAAGTGTTACATACTGTGGAGATGTTCCCCCATAAGAACCTCATTCATCATTTATTAAGAGAGATTTTTAATCCAGTAAGGTTCGTGTGTTTCAAGTTGTGGTCACTGCAGTAAAAGTAGAAAAACAATTACCTCAGTTTCTCTTCTAGTCAATTGTCTGTTGTTCATACCTTGTGCCTGATGATAGCTACCACAACTATCCTTCCCAAAAAACCTACATGTATTTGTGACTTTACATCTAGAGTTAAAAAAGGCAAATCTGTTCTTTATTTATGCAGTCCAAAACCAAACTTGCACCATGAACTGTGGTAGACAAACAGTATGAAATAATCAAAACCGTGATTTTTCTCCTGAGGAATTTACATACACACATGAATACACCCACACAGTTTTATAACATTTTAGTTTCATGGTTTTTGCAGCAGCGCCAGATTAACATATCTTTTTTTGGTGGACTTGGGGGCAGCATTCTATCCTAGGCAATAAGCAATGCTGCTTTCCCTCAGGGTTTGATTTGTTAATACATCAGGTGGTGTTTCAAGCTCTGGCCAGCAGCCGCACTTAGTGATGAAGTAAAGATAACTAAATATATAAAATCAATATATAACAAATAGAAACAAGAAATACTCATAGCAAAATACTATAAATAAAAATTTTAAATTGAAAAAAAATGAGAAGAAGTGGTAAAGAGAGGGAAAATCCACGTCTGACTGGTTTGAGGATAATAGGAACGTTTTTAATATGAACTAGGAGTAAAATATGGAAAGGACATGACAAATTTGTTGATAGTGAAAAAGAAAAGGCAACATACTGAATAAACGTATGTCCTGCATTTGTAGAAGTGATATATTCTTGTCACTTGGGCCTGACTCCCTACTTTGAAGTCTGTCATAACATATGGTCTGTAACATCCTCCTTGCTTACTGTTAAACAATTTCAAATCAATCAGACTGAGTAACTTGTGCTCAGGGCTCTTAGTCTGCTGAGGCTAATTTTTAACACACCTTGGAAGAGCAGGTTTTAGACAGCTGAAGGTGTGTCTAGTAAAATGAAAAGTGTTCAAATAAAATTAAGACAGGTAGTTTTATTGTTCTGCCTCAGAGAATGTAAAGGAAAAAATTCTGTTACAGAATAATAAAGAATAAATATGGTTTTATGGAAAATTTGTCTTGTTAAACACATCTGATTTTCATTCTTCATTATGGTTACAATTCTAAGTTGATAAAATGTTTGCAAAGCTGATATCCTGAGACTTTTGTAAGGAATGGGACATTGTGTCTCACGGTATTCTAATTTAAATGCATTCCCATACAATATCTGTGGAAATGTTAAATGAATTAACTGGAAGGCTAAAAAAAATAATTGTCAGTTGGGAATAATAAATGAAACTGATATTTAGTAATCTGAAAGTAAATACAAAACCATTGCTGCTAGTGTCAACTTATGTTGCAAAGAATTTCCCGAGGAAGATAATGTTAAAGACTGTATAGGCCATGCATCTGGATCACTGTGCTTGCATCACTGGTGTAAAAAATATACTAAATCTTCTAAAGCTAAAATCATATATCAAGGAAAAAATTTATGCAGATTGTTATCTTCAGAACTGGAGAGACTGTCCGGGGAAACAGTGGCTGAAAACAGCTAAAGGGTCACAGTGGACAGTGAAGGGCAGTAGCTGTACTTCTGCATATGGAATCATAGAATCATAGAATGGTTGGGGCTGGAAGGGACCTCAAAGATCATCTAGTTCCAACTCCCCTGCTGTGGGCATGGACACCCTCCACTACGTCAGGTTGCTCAAAGCCTCATCCAACCTGTCCTTGAACGCTTCCCAGGGATGGGGCATCCACGACGTCTCTGGGCAACCTGTTCCAGTGCCTCACCACCCTCAGAGTGAAGAATTTCTTCCTGACATCTAATCTAAATCTCCCCTCTTTCAGTTTAAATCCATTGCCCCTTGTCTTATCACTACATACCCTTGTCAAAAGTCCCTCTCCAGCTTTCCTGTAGGCCCCCTTTAAGTACTGGAAGGCTGCAATAAGATCAGTCCGAGCCTTCTCTTCTCGAGGCTGAACAGCCCCAACTGTCTCAGCCTGTCTTCATAGGAGAGGTGCTCCAGCCCTCAGATCATCTTCGTGGCCCTCCTCTGGACTCACGCCAGCTTCCAGTTCCTTCTTGGGAACTCCAGAGCTGAACACAGTATTCCAGGTGGGGTCTCACAAGAGCAGAGTAGAGGGGCAGAACCACCTCCCTCGACCTGCTGGCCATGCTTCTTTGGATGCAGCCCCAGGACACAGTTGGCTTTCTGGGCTGCCAGCACACATTGCCGGCTCATGTTGAACTTCTTATCAACCAGCACTCCCAAGTCATTTTCCTTCATGCTGCTCTCAATCCATTCTCTGCCCAGCCTGTATTTGTGCAGGACCTTGCTCTTGGGCATATGGCAGATGATGGAATATCACATCCAATTTGCTTTCTTTTATAAAAATGGGAATTGATAAAACTGGATAGGGAGCTTAAAACCACCACAAATGTTAATCATGTGCTGGAGAAGCCTTACAAGGAAGGATTTAAAGAGCGTAATGTGTTTAGCTCAGCAAAAAGAAAAGTGAGGTGAGTGGGTAAAACCAAGTGAGATTGCGAACATTATTATACCTGGATCTGTAAGTTTTTCCTATATTGTACTTAAATCATCTAGTAGTGTAGACTTTTTTCCTCCTCAAATTTTTAAATATTTGTAATGACTTTGGTTGTGTTTACTACATCGTTCCCATCTTTTGAAAAGCTAATGGGAGAAATCATGGGTTAATGAATGGAAATATGAATTCTTCATCCTAAGTCACGACTTGGATTACTACTCATTAGAAACCAGCTGAAAATATTAATGCCTGTAATTCTTTCTGTTTTAAGATAGACTTAATTCCTTGACCTACAGGAAGCTGTACACAAAAGAACCATGTCCAACCTTGGACAAAAAAATCCTGAAACGCTTACCTAATAGAGACTGTGATGAGTAGTTTATTGTGCTTTGCTAAGTGTGGAAGACAAATTAAAATTCTTAGCCTAAGATATATATTTTTAAGGACCAATTTTCAGAATAAGGCATTTTCCACCTAATTAAGTTGCAAATATGCAGTATATTTAATACCTTCACTCCTTTTTCTTATGTATCAGAAGAAAAAAATCCAACATGTTAAGTGTACAGTGGCAGGAATTCTAGTACTTAGTATTATGTCTCACTTATTTTTTGATTTGAATGTTGAAAATGTGGTTTCTGATTTAGGCGCAAACAGGATTTTGTTGTCAGCTTAACTTTTTCACCTTAGTTCTGGCAACCAAACTTTCTGTGTATGGTTTTGCTCTGCTTTGGGAACTAAAGGATTTGACTTTGCTCTTGGAGTACATGAGGTTCTTTTAAGTAACTCCCTTGTGTTCTGATTTACTTGTGTCAGAACTTGTGTTACCAGTCTGCTGCACGTTTACTGCGGTATTATCTACAGTTACTTCAAAATATCACATCAGAATTTATGTGAATTCTGTGATTTCTTATATCTATTTTAAAATATCCATATGCATATATATATATAGCTGCAAGGTATGGTGTCTTATTCACCAAGACATCAACGGATCTGGAGAAGCTGTTTTTTAAGCTCACGGATTTCGCTGGTTCTTTCTACACCAAGCATTTCTCTCTTCAGTAAATTTAAACTCTGTTCTGCTACTATCATTTCGTTTTCAGAACTCATATATGAGAGTCTTGCAGAATTTCCTTGGACACGGGAGCAAGTGTGATGTTGTTCCGTCTTTGTTAGGTGTCACGCTGGTGTTGAAGTGAACTGTTCCAGTTCAGATGATGGACTATTGGAACTTGCATCACATGTTCTCAGGAGCGTCCTAGTTACTGTGAAGCAGAAGCTTCTGTGCAGAAGCTTATCCAAATGCTTTAAGTATGTCTGTCTGCTGCAGAGGAGGTGCAGTAGACTCAGTCTTTTCCTATAAGGAAACTTACAGTTTGCTACAAGAAATGTGGTGCTATTTTTTTCTGGACGAACTTTGGTTTTCCATCTAGTATGACCACTGCTTTTAAAACTAAGAATTTGTACATGTGGCTGAAATTTGAATATGATGGAGATGAAGTGGAAAGCAGAGATTTTTCTTCTTGGAGTAATTTTGTTATTGATGTGGGATTTACTGTCCAGTACATCTTGTTCTTTGTATGTGTGTCAGATTTCAGATTCTCTTGTTTCAGTCCTTGTGTTTGAACTTTTCATGTGTGTTGCAACCCAAATGCTTCTAGTATGGTTACATTGCGATATCGTGCAGTGTTTAACATCTAAAGGACATAGGCCTGTATTAAAAAGGGTACATGATTCAGAGTGCTTTACACGCTGGTATTTCAGCAAATAATTATTGGAGAAACAGACAGATCACAAAGAAGTCTGTGGGATCAACATAGTTTTGAACAAAAAAGAAAAAAGGAAATAAAAAAACATCAGAGAAAATGAGAAGTCACAGACCAGAATTTAGTTGGGGGATAAAACTCTGTGGGGAAATTAAATGTCAATAGTTTTGTCTTTTATGTATCACAACACTGCTGTAGTTTTTATGGCACTCTTTTTTTTTTTAATTAGTAGTAGCTCCTGAGCAGAACTGAATCTTAGCAGACATTGTTATTTATATTTTTTTAGGAAATAGTTTTTCAGTGTTTCTGCTGTGTGCTCTGGACTTTTAATCAAACACATTTTCTCTTCTTCTACCTACAGGTAATCCACCAATTAAAGAAGACACTTTGGTTCTCAAGATTGGATCTGTCTCTATGGCTCCTCAAGCTGACAACCCTCTTAGTAGAGCTGTGCTCAGAAAAGACATTTATCAGTAAGTGTTGGGGGAGGGGTTTGGGTTTTCATATATGGTCTCAGAAAAATTCATTTTGGGAGAAGTTAATTGATCAATAAAACGAGTACGTGCAGCCTGTAAAAATACTTTTCACATACAATCTTTTGATATTCAAAACCAGGTTTTTCTGATTTTCTTCGCTTGTGGGCTTTCAAATCCATTTAGACAAATCAAGTTCTTCTGTGAAGTGCTGATGAATAACAGAATTTAAATGTCAAGTCATTGCGAAGCTTAAGCTCACAGATGAGAACATTTTAAGAGGCTTGCTTTTGTTCAGCTACTACTAAGTTCACCTAAAAGAAAAGGAAATTTTCTGTGACTACCAAAGTGCTCAGTAGCTATATAGTGTGAAGGAGATAGATCTTAATAATATAAATGGTAAACATATATTCAAACTGTAGGATTCTTGATGTCATGTAGATCAAAGCTGAAAGGAACACAAACTTCTAAGGAGCTCTTTCCCAGTAAACACATTTTCTGTGAAAATGTCATGCTCTGGATTGTGTCACTAAGTATGTGCAAACCACACTAATCATATATAGGCAGCAAAACTGGTGAACATATGTAATCAACATGATAAAAGTAATATATGATCCTTAGTAGAGTTGGCACTGTTGCTAGACATGAAAGTATGGTTGCAAATAAGACCAAGTGAGAAAAGTCACAGAAATACAGATGAACAAGTGTCTTATACTTCCTGTTGGTCTGTTTTTCAGATGTGGCAATATTTGCAATATTTTTAACTACTTCATAGTGCTCTTCAATAGAAATTACAAACATCAAAATCTTTTCCCAGCAGTAAAACATTTACTGCCTGGAAAATGACAGCAAGTTTTACTTTTTGTCAAGACTAAGTTTTTTAGGAGACCATGAAATATCTCCAGTTTCTCTTCTGATCACTTAGAAGTTGTAAGGGAGTCTTTTTGTTGATATTTCCATGTGGAAATATTTAAATTAGGTTTTTTGCTTGTATGTTTAGTTATAGTAGTTTATTCTTTCTTTTTTTTTTTTTTTTTTTTTTTTTAATGAGCATTGTATTTGTATCTATTGTGTTATGGAGCATTCTTGAAAGAAATCTCACAGCCTGGCACCAGCAACAACTTTGGGTGGCAGGGCCTGATCCAACTCTCAATGTGCCCACAGATAAAAGAGATTTTCCTGGCTTCCTTGTGACCAGTCTCACAACATCATGCTTCCTGCGTCTTTTTCTGAGAAATGTCTACCATTTTCAGTAATTTCTCCTAACTGCTTCAGTGACCGTTCTTCTAATTTCTCAGCAGCTGTCAAATGACTCAGTCTTATCTTTGTTCCTTTAATCATCCAATTATACTAGCTTTAGTGTTTTTAAAATACGTCGGGGCAGAGTGTCAAGTTACTTTGCGGAGTTTTATGAGACAATATTGAAGTTGGTAGTGGGTGGTCTTTTGGTTTTGAGAAGAGGGTTACTATTTTGATCTGTTTAAGCAAGCTTCAACACTTTTGAGCAATATGAATTAATATTTTTTTAATTAAAAATATTTAGATTCGAGTTTGGAGTCAATGTAGATGCATTTTCAAATTACATATTCTTTGATCCAGAACATACTGTAGTTACAGAAGCCTAGCTGAAGATAGCCATCCATTTTCTTACATGATAGTCACTACTGTTAGACCACTGGAGTTGTGAGTGGAGTTAATTTCACCTCATTCACTGGAGAGAGACTTTTTACAAGGGCATGTAGTGATAGGACGAAGGGCAATGGATTTAAACTGAAAGAGGGGAGATTTACATTGGATATAAGGAAGAAATTTTTCTCTCTGAGGGTAGTGAGGCACAGGAACAGGTTGCCCAGAGAATTTGTAGATGCCCCATCCCTGGAGGTGTTCAAGGCCAGGTTGGATGAGGCTTTGGGCAACCTGGTGTAGTGGAGGGTTTTCCTGCCCATGGCAGGGGGGTTGGAACTAGATGATCTTTGAGGTCCCTTCCAACCCTAACCATTCTATGATTCTATGATTTTTCAGTTTTTCTTTTGCAAATAAGATTTTTGTATTGTTAGGGCAGGACAGACCGTTTGTATTCAAGTAAAAAACCCACAGTGGAATATTTTTAACACGTGGACCTGATGTTTTTATTTGTTTCTCCTAATATGAGATTTCTTAACTTACATAGTATTTTCCCTTTTTAACCTGCCCACTATAGATGGCACTAGATAGCAAAAATGCCTAACTGGACCTAATACAGAATGCTTAAAAATCAAGTAATAAACCAGGCAAACCCACACAATGTATAAGTTATGTATTTTGGTGAAAGATTTCTCAGTAAATATCAACAGTTACAAGTAGTACAATATCCAGCTTAAGAGATTCTGAAAAAAAAATTACAGTGGCCTGCTGATTACTGAAGAATTAGCTGCTACAGCATTCTAATAATCCCAACATGTCATCTTCTGTCTTTTTCCAACCTCTCTTCTCCTCTAATTTGCTGCTGCTGCTTTTAACAGAATAAAAGAAAATAAATCATTGTCTGAACCACTGTCTTTACAGTGCTTCTGGAGTGTGGATACAAACTTAATTTGCGGTGTCACTTTGGTTTAAACAGTCTTCTGTTTAGGTCTGAACTACAACCACATGCAATTAATGTCACTTTTGTAGTGTTTCATGAGAAAGAGGAATTTTTTGCTTCTTAGAAACTGTTCTTTTAAGAAAGGCTGAGAAACTTTTTCATGGCTAAAGGCTGAATAGAATTTCCAAATGTCTTTTGAATTTGTCCCACAAATTCAATGTCCCAAAAATGAAAAACTGAATGTGCTCATATATGATTAACAGAATGCCAGTGCGTGAAAGGTAAATGTGTATGGCTGCAAGTCATACTAAATAAACTGGGCCACTTCTGGCCTGTAAGCTGAGGTGCCTCCCCCTGTGTTTTAGGAAAAATACTTGCTTGCTTAACTTGGGGAGAGAACTAAATTGAAAATGGAATGTTGGGAAAATAATGTGTCCCAAAAGTTTGGGTACAAATATTTTTTCAGGTGATTATTGGAAGTTGGACAGAAATGTATTGACGTAGTAACTTCAGTTTTCTTATACTGTATAAAAATCAGTCTAAAAATAACTATTTCCTTCAGTAGAAAATGGACTAATTTAGTTTCAACTATTAATACATGTAGTAATCAAAGATGCATGTGCCATAACAGTAAATACAGGGCTCCTGAAAGAAGTACAGTGACACATTTTTAGCTGGTCATAGTAAGAGACAATTTCTCATTTTCTTTTTTTTTTTTTTCCCCCTACTAAATCCTAGGAGTTGGTTTGTTTGTTTTAATGATTGCTTGTGAATTTCTGATTCTTAAACCCCAGCTAAGGTGGGTTTGTCTTCAACAATATGACCAAAATTGTATGTTCCTTTCAAGAGACTGCCAGTTCTGTGGAGCAGAACTCTTGTAGATATCAGAAGGCCTTGGGATGGGGCCAGGGGGCAGAGTAAAGTTGATTTTGGAGAAGGATGCAAGTGAGGCAGATGCCTAGACTGACTAAAGAGTAGGAAGAGCAGTTAATTAAAACTGTGGAGGAGTCAGATGGTCAGAGTAAATGAAGTTTCTGCTAAGAGGTGGAGAACCACGTTTTTGTGGGTGTTAGTTACCTGAACATATTAAACTTGGGACTGGATGGGGAGGCTGCTGCTTGGAGACAACCCAGCAGGCTGCAGAAAAACAAGATGATGTGGTCATTTCTTGGCTTGTGTGATCATGCTGTGTATGTTAGAACTTTTGAAGTGGCCAAATGAATGGTCAAATATGTTTGACAAAACAGAGAAAAGTCTAGCAGTTTTGGGGAGGAAGAGTGCTGAGATAGGAAAGCTAAGTTAATACTCAGATGGAGTGAAAGTCAGCCAGTTATTTGATATCAGAGAAATTACATCAGAGGAGAATTTCATAAATGCTGTAACTACAGGGAAAAACAAGCATCTCTTTGGAGGCAAAAAATTGCATTTCTCAGTCCTGTGTTTGCTCTTGTTTGGCTCTGTCATGTCTAGTAAGATAAAAATTCCAACTGAAGTTTTTTTTCCTGAAGATCTTCATAAAATTCTCTCACCTATGGATTCTTTGGTACCTAACATCAAAGGTATGCTTCTGCTACAGTGCTAGTGTGATGAAATTAAGAATTTAACTGTATGCCAATTGCACAGACGTTTTCAGCAGTTGTGGTGTTTGTAGTAATGCTTTGTTCACTTTGGAGGACATCAGTTAAGATTTCTCATTAGCAGTGATCACTTCTCTGAAAACTTAAATATATGTTTTTATGTGGAGAGTGATAAAAGCAGTTATGTGGCCGATTATGTTTCAAAAATCCAAACGAAGCATAGAATCATGGAATAATTTCAGTTGGAAGGGACTTCTCTAGTTCATCTAGTCCAGCCTCTTACTCAAAGCAGTTGCTCTAGTCTTTCTCCAGACAACAAACTTAGCAGATTATTTAGATCTGTTTCATAATCACTTATCAAAAGAACAGACTTCTGATGGATATAAAGCAATTCTGAGGGCATCAGGCCAGAAGATCCTTATCCATGTATGGAGATGGCTACAGCAAACAGAGTAGCATCTCTTGCAGTAGCTTGAAAAGCCACATTTCCTCCTTTATGCGTCTTCATATGTTTTCCCTTTGTCATTTCCTTAGTTCTTTCTCTTTTAATACAAGTGACTAATGTAGAATATCAGCATGAATAAATTATAATGGTTTAAAGAAGTGGAACTAATCAAATATGTCTGTAGTCATCTTAACCAGTTTTCTGCCCAATTATCTCACATTCTGTGACATAATTTTGTCACCTTTTTAGATTACAACAGTATTTTCCTGTGTATACAAACAGTGCTTAGTGCAATTAAGCTGAGCACAACTGGAATCCTTGAACACTTTTAGTCAGTGGAAACATGACATAAAAAGGACTGAATTAAAAAAAAAAGAGTGTATATGCTGGGGGTTTATAACAATGAATAGCACTA